GAATACCATCTGATTGGTCACCTCTTTTATGATATTGGTTAAGTTATTCTTGTAAATCAAGCACTAATTATCTATACAGCTTCCATCCCAAAAGATATAGAGTTTATTTGCTTTTTCTTTTTGTTTTTGGGGTCGTACTACCCCCCCCTCCCCCTCCTTCTCCCGGCTTGTGTAGCACCTTTCTGCTTTTATCAATAAAAAGGGGGGAAAGTACTTTGAGCTCACTGTAGAATTCTGAATTACAACCCCCCATAGTCTACTAATAGCCCCCTCCCCAATAAACCATATCACGCCCGTGGATTTGGCATCATTCCATGGTCAAGATTCATCTCCCATTACGATGGGGCTAAAGTATTCTAAGCTGGGCTGATTAGTCATTCTCCCAAAAAAAAAAATCACATGAAAACTAAGAAGTAAAATAAAGCAAAGCACAACTATGAAAGTAGAAGGTATGACACTGAAAAAGTTTATAATTCAAAAACCCACGCCATGTGAATTTGGTTGAATAATTGTTGATTTGTAGCTAATTGTTGATGTTGGACATACCTTTTGGGTTTCAACTCCAAATCACCTGCCAACAAAATATGTTCCAACATGATCTAACACCACACATCTCAGAATGGTGGGTCACACTTTTATGATGGGTCCCAGTTTCATGGTATGATGTGCAATGTAAAATTATGTTAAGAAGGTGTTGGAATGTGTTTTGTTGGCAGGTGATCAATTGGATTCTAGGGTTTGACTATGATGTTGGAAAGACATGATATTGGAAAAAGCTTGCAACCAATCAACATGCATCATAAAAGTGGTAAACCAATCAAGTGGATTATCATCAAAATTTATGGAGTTTTGATTGGTCAAAGCCTTTCCGAAATCATTATCATGTCTTTTTGCCATCTAGATTTTTCTTTTTACCAATAATAAACCTATATTTCATTCAAAAATGCCTACTCTACCTTTTTGCGACCATTGAAATTGCCTAACAAAATCATCATCATCTCCATGCCTTATCCCAACTATATGGGGTCGGCTACATGAATCCTATTTCAACAATCCATTCTATTTAAAATCTTGTCCACGGTTAAACTATTAGTGTTCAAATCATTTCTTACTACTTTTACCCATGTTTTTGTAGTCTACCACTAACTTTTCTATCCTCTTCCGCTTGTAACAAATGACTTCTTCCAATATTTCAATTGGAGCTGCTGGTGTCTTCTATGCATTTGACCAAACCATCTTATTCTACTCTTTTTCATTTTATCATTTATTGGAGTTATTCCTAGGTTTTAATAGATGTCTCTATTCTTGATCTAATCTTTTCTAATTTTTTTCATTCATCTATCTTAGCAGTCGCATTCCTACCACACTAATTTTCTAAACATGTTTATTGACTATCCAACACTTTGCTCCATACAACATGGTTGGCCTCGCAACTATTTTGTAGAATTTCTTTTAATATAAGTTGTGTTCTCCCCTCACACAAAAGTCCGGATGCATCCCTCTATTTTGTCTAACATGCTCTAATTCATTGAGTGGCATCCTCCTAAATCTCTCCCATGTTATGAATTACTGAATTGATCAATGTATCAAAAAATATTATATTGAGTTATCTCTTGGTCTCCAGTCCTAAGTGTATCCTGATTTACATTCCAATTATTACTAACTTTACATTTCATATAATCTTTAATCTTACTTATTACTAAACTTCGTTAATGTGATATTGTCTTACAATGCCAATCACAAGCTAAAATAAAGGATGAGGGTTACGTTAGGTTAGCAATTGATACTAAAACTTTTGCCAAACCCTTGTGAATGTGGATCTTGATTTGTCTTTTTTGAATTGCCTAACTAAATAGTTTTAATTTAATTTACTTTATCAATGATATGCAATATCTCAATTTAATCAAGTTTCATTGCTTTGCCAAAAATATGTTTATTTGATTAATGCATTTACCCATGTTCTTTTGACAAAAATGTTGGCCTGTGATAAATATGACAATTTTTCAAACGTGCATAACTTTTGTTCACACCTAGAAAAAGGATAATACTTAGGTGTCCATCTTTTGGGAACATGTTTATTTGGATAAATGCATTTGCTTGTGTTCTTTTAATAAAAAAAATGTCACTTATAGACAATTTCCTAAAAGAGTCCTAATTTTTATGTATTGACGTGGGCATGTTAGTTATAGTAACGGGCCAAGCTCATGTTAGTCTTGAAGCTCATTTAAATTTTAGAAAAGTACGAACAGACTCATTGCAGATTTCTGAATTCCACTCAAACCTATAAAAATTCAAAATGTCAAATACCCCCATTCTATACACCAATGCCGCTCGTGAATTGGCATCAATTTCGAGCTAGCACCTACTCCAATTGTACTTCGGGTCTAAGAATTCTAACCTTGGGCTGAACTGTTTTTCTACCTTTAAATTTTGGCAAAAACACTCAGTCGGGCCAATGAATAGGTCTCTAACAGTTTGACCAACTTTTCCCCCACCATGGAAAAAGTGATTTACCTGCATTGACACAAGAAAAGGGTAACACTTGAGACTTCAAATAGGGTTGTCAATGGGTCAGGTCTAGGTCGAAACCAACTGGAATCAGAATCAACCCAACATAAAATGTTGAGGACCAGGACCTGGACATGATAGGATTTGTATTTTTTGGACTTGGAACCAAATCAATTGATTCTCAAGACAATCGGTTTGATAAATATTATATTATAATAAATAAAAATTATATTTAATAATAATAAATAAATATTCTACCCATGCATTGGGAACATCTCTTCGTGCATAAAAGGATAAGATGTTCCCATGTGTGGCTGTGATGTTACGTGTGTATGTGTGGATAGAGTTGTCGTCAAGGTTTAAAATTTTGATATGATACACCTGATACGTATCGTATCGTATCGTATCTTTGAAAAATCGATACAGGATACGCATGGAAATCGGACGTTTCATCTTTTTTCATGCGTATCGGACCTGTATTGGGGGCATATCTGGGCGTATCAGGGTTGTATCGGTAGCATATCAACGAAAAAGATACAGCCAAAAACTAAAAGAAATTAAAGGGGGAAAGCAAGCTTCTTTTCCCCGAAATAAGCCTTCTTTCNAATGACTCTAAAACTCCAACTTCAATCCTAGAGTGCTAGATTTGCAAAAGTTTGCAAAAAACAAGTGTGAATCGTTAATTGTTTTAAAGATTTTTCAAATTTTGAAAAAATATGGCAAAAATAGGTAAAATTTTCAATCTTTTATAATATCTTGTGATTTTTTTTTCTTGAATTTTTAAATTTATGTTGATCTACATTTCTTACATTCAAAATCATATTTTTTTTTGTGTTATCAATAGATTTATGGAAATTTCATGAAGATATTTGGGAAAAATGTAAATTATCAAAAAATTTGAAAATGAAATTTTTTCTCTGCCTATAAATACTAAATATGTTTTATATCTATGGGTTCATCTATCATATCCATAGAGCAATTGAAATTTCTTTTTTATTTTTCTTATTGTTTTATTTTTAGAATTAAAAAATAAATAATAATTAATTATATTTTATCATTTAATCACAAAAATTTAATATATTATAATTCTATGGATGATCTATCATATCCATAGACCAATTGAAATTTCTTCTTTAATAATTTTTTTATTTTTATATTTTTAGAATTAAAAATTAACTAATTAATTATATTTTATCATTGATCACAATGATTGAATATAATATAATTCTATGGATGATCTATCATATCCACAAAGCAATTGAAGTTTCTTCTTTAATAACTATTTTTTGAATATATTATATAATATTTATTTATTTTTTATAATTTTTTGAAATGAATAATAAATAATTATTAATTATATTTTCACATAGAAGTGTCAATGCATGTTTTATGATTGGATAGGAGAGTTGGGTTTTTATCATCCCATAAAACATTAAAATTTAAGAATTATAATTTATAAATTATGGTTAAGCATAGGACTTTTAATGAAATTATAATTAAGTATAATATATTTCTTCATAAAACCATTAAAGTATATTAATTTAATGTATATACACCTCATTGAGGTCTTTTATTTAGTGTTGTTGATGTATTTTTATGATTTATTAAAGTATTTATAGTGTTTCCAAGTGTATGTATGCGTATCTTAGTTTTTCTCAAATACGCATGCATATCCAAGATGTATCCCAATATCTTTCTTAAAATTGTCTTTTCGATATACTTGATACTTTGAACCTTGGTTGTCAACTTAGGGGTGGATTTAAGCCGAACTGAGCCGAATAGTATGAGGCTCGAGCTCGGATCGCCTAGGAAGTATAAGGCTCAAGCTCGGTTCGAGCTAAAACCTTGAGCTCGAGCTCGGCTCGAGTTGAAACCTCATAAACTCGAGCTCGGCTTGGCTTGGCTCAAGCTCGATTTGAAAAAAAAATATTTTGTAAAAATTAAAAATTATATATAAAAAATATTTTTTATTTGATATTTAAAAAATAAGGATTATAATATTTTTATTATATATTATTTTCTATAATTATATTATATTATATAATATATATATATATTAGGCTCGAGTTCAGCTCGTTTATTAATCGAACCTATAATATGGGCTCGAATTCAAACTCGAACTCAATTGAAACCAAACTGAATCGAGCTTTTCACGAGTCAAGCTCGAATAGCTCGTAAAGAGCTCGGCTCGTGGCACGTGTAATAAACATTCCATTTTCGAATCCCATCGATTTTAGATGTGGGTACTAATATCATCATTTTAGATCCCATCGAATCCCACGGCTCGTGGCACTCAACACTTGGATGTGGGTACTAATATCATCATTTTAGATCCCATCGATTCCCTGTAATAAACATTCCATTTTCGAATCAAATCGACAAATTCAAAACCACCGTAAGGTTTATGTAGGCGTGCCACGTGTAATTTGTTGAAAATGAGAGCGGTAAGCTCGTTACGTCCCGCTAGAGACCTGTTCTCACTTAAAAAGGAGTCTCGTTTCTCCCACTGTTCTCGTTTCTTCCATCATCTCTCTCGCTTGTTATACCTGCTTCTCTTATTTCACTTTCGAGCTCTGAACCTCTCTCTTTCTCTGTACAACTTGTGCCACCATGGATGAAGAATACGACGTTATTGTTCTCGGAACAGGTCTCAAGGAATGCATTCTCAGTGGTCTTCTCTCTGTCAATGGACTCAAAGTAAGCCTCTCTCTCTCTCTCTCTCTGTGCATTATTGTCTTCTTGTGTTCATAGATTTGCAGTCTCGAATCCGAAATCTTCATTGATCAATGATGAAGGATATAAGTCACTTGTGCCAGAACATTGCTGGAGCAGGTCTCAAGGAATGCATTCTAACGTCTTTTTTATTCTTTGGTGTTTATTGCTCTGAACATTAATTGCTGGAACAAGATTTGAATGATCATGTTATAAAGGCCTACCTCTTGTTTTTGGTTTTCACTTTGTTTCTTAATTGCTTGACGTATTGCCTTCCTGCAATGAGGTGACATTTATGAGTCCAGCTTCTCCACTAAAAGAAATGTTGCAATAAGGACGCCTTTCGTTCATTGTTTTTAACTTGCTTCCCTTAGTGGTCATCATTCTTTTATTTTCTCTGTTTCGAATATGCATTCCATGGTTTTATAAGTGTTTCCGTGTTTGAATCTAGAAATTGACAGGGTTTCATCATGGCTCTAAATTAAAAACATTAATTGCTCAGTTATTGCAATAGACATCCTCACAACAAAGCCCATATCCCACAACCAACCCAAACCAACAATTCCAAAAGTAAAGTCAATATATCACACTTCCGCCCAGCAAACTCAAAAAACAACCTCAACCAGTTAGAGCAAGTACAACATAAACAACCCCACCCCCTAAAAGGCTACAACTATGACCTCCAAACTGGTTACTTCTTCTTTGAGGCTTTCTTAAGCTTCATCATCTTCTTGTTTGATCCTAACCCAAATAGACCTCCATTCCATCGAGGCAAAATGCATTTTGAATATGAGCTCATGTAAACACAAGGCTATTGCCACAGTTCCATCCATTTTATCTTTTATCACTTTTTCCCCTCCTGAAATTCATGGTAAAGGCATTATAATATTCTTGGACCTTTACTTCTAAATTACAATAACTTGGAACATTAATTTGAGTACACATGCAAAAGTTTCATCTTTGATTCATATACCTCATATGTGCAGATAAAAGAAAAACTTATTTCCTGTTGATGAAAGTATATTCAAATGTCCTTTATCCTCTAGGTAAAAAAAGGGAAAAACGACCTGCCTCTAAATCAAAGAGATAAGTGATTGGAATAACGACCTGCCTCTACTTCAGAAGTAACATATTGTCCTTAGAGTTTTCAACAACCACTTTTTCTACCACCAGTTGCAGAGACTGAGATGAACTTCTGAAATATCAAATGACCTATTATCATTCTTATCAAGTGAAAGCTTGTATATGATCCTTCATTTATTTATTTATTTGTTTATTTATTATTTATTTTTGTATATGATCCTTTATTCAGATGACATGGAAAAGGTACAAATTATATGCTAGAAAACTACTTGTGTGCTTGTTCCAAGACAGATACACTTTGGTTGAAAATTTTTGTAGGTGATGTTATGATACTTGTTGCTGGCATTTTGATTCATCATCTTTTTAGTGTTCAACCTATAAAGAGACTCTAAGACCTAGTTGACACAGTCTTTTCAGAGAAGCCAGTTTAATGCATAATGTTGAACCAACATGCCTTGCGGTTTTAGACTGATAAACCATCTTTTAATGGATGTGATTCTTTTTTTAATGAAATTTTTCTTTTTACTCTTCAAAAAGAAAGGATGTGATTCTTTTCCTTTTTCTTTTTTCCATTATTTGGTTGCATGATACATTATTAACAGGGATATAGCTAAATTTTTCATAAGTAACCGAAAACCTTCACTAAAAGAAGATAGATTAAATTGTCTGTGAGAGAGGAAGGGGCAGGGGAAGGAGAGAGGAACCTAGAGAGGATTTATCATAAAGCACTATTAACCAAAATCTATTTGGAGTCGATCTTTATCTGCATCTAAGTTGTACCAGTTATCTTTTATTTTTGGAGGTTCATATGATATAAATGGTTTAACCCTTTATATCCTATTCATTTGAAACAGGTATTGCACATGGACAGGAATGACTACTATGGAGGAGAATCAACCTCACTTAATCTCATCCAGGCAAATTTTAATGTTTTTATGTAAAAGTTACCTGAGAAATACAACTATCTGTGTATTCATATCATTTTTCTTTTGGTTGGTTTTGTAGCTTTGGAAGCGATTCAGGGGTAATGACAAGCCACCGGAACATCTGGGCTCAAGCAGAGAGTACAATGTTGATATGATTCCTAAGGTATTCAGAGATTTTCGTAATTTATATTATATGAATAAGATAATTTCCTGAATTTTTTGTGCTACAATTATGTTTTTTATATTACACAAATTTTCATATACTTTCCTCGTACACATTAAAAACTTAATCAGATATCTTACACCTCCCATCCTATGGCTTCTGAGGTGACGTTGTAGGAAATAAAATTTGGGCTAAATCTAGGAAAAATGGAACACAGCAATGACCTTAAATTTTGAGGAAAATATTTCAATCTTCTTCCACTGAACGTTTTATGAGGTAATTGTAGCCAGTTAAATATTTTCTCTACAGTGATGCAATAAATGTGAAGTACTCAAAATAAGTATGTGAAATACTTCTAGTAGAGTAATTTGTAATTAATTAATTAATTAATCAATCTCTGGGAGGAACTATGTAGTTGATGAAGGATGTCTGAACCACAGATCTTAGCGGTAAAAGCTGGAGTCTTTTTTCCTTGTATTCATTCATCCGATGATTTGATTAATATGACAAAAATTGGACCCTTTGTGATAAAGATTCTCAAAGCACAACATCTTTGTTTGGTGACAAATTTATCAACCTATAAAATTATTCTAAATTGAGGACGTATGGAGTCAACAAAGTCAAAAGTCTCAGGATCATACACAACTTTTCCCTCTGATGTTATGATTTTAATGAAACACATCCATTTGAGCAAACCACTAGGTCTAGACTCTAGACTTTCCTCAAAAACTTGTCTTTTGTGTTCTTGCATGCAATTAAATTTTTCTGAACATTTACTCTTGTTCAGGAATTGCATGTCAAATGAAATGCAAAAGAAATTTATATTACTGATTGCTGGATTATCCTTTCCATTTTCTAGCAATAGGCTACTCTACAAAATGCTACAATCCAATAATATGTTATGAAACCAATTATTATCAAGTCCACAAACTTGATGCAGTGAAACTTCTGGAACTTGGTCTGGATTTGTCTCCAATTAGTTCCATGCTTTCTTCTGAAAAAAAGTAACTTTGTCTGTTTTGGCAGTTTATGATGGCCAATGGTGCTTTGGTACGAGTCCTCATCCACACTGATGTCACTAAATATCTAAACTTTAAGGCTGTTGATGGTAGTTTTGTGTACAATAAAGGACAGGTATGTTGCCCTGTTTCTAAATTCTTTTCTTTTAAATTGTCTTCAGTTCAACATTTAATCTGTCATTCAGATATTTTGCAATTTACCACTTTCTCTTTTATAGATTCACCTTACAAAATAAAACTTCCTTGTAATTTCCAGATTCATAAAGTACCAGCTACTGATGTAGAAGCATTGAAATCCCAACTCATGGGATTATTTGAAAAGCGTCGGGCACGGAAGTTCTTTATTTATGTGCAAGATTATGAAGAGAATGATCCAAAGTCTCATGAAGGGCTGGACCTCAACAAAGTTACAGCAAGAGATGTTATTTCGTAACTATCTCATTCTAATGTCTCTTTCAGTTTTATGTTGATTCAGTAGCCACTTAACCTAAACTCTGATGTTCCTATGCTTTGTTCCCGCCTTGGTCAATCTTGCAACATTTGATTCATGATAAGTATTTTTCCTTTTGCATTATTTAGAAATATTTACTTATCCTAGAAATCTCTCAACCCTGATGGATTTAAATGTAAGACAGGAAATCACAGGCTGATTTCTATTGATTATGTAGTGAAATTTCAGTTTATGTTTATGAACTGATTTATCCTCCTCTTTTTGTCAGAGTGGATTATAGTCAGTTATTATAAAGTAAGACAGGATTTGGACCTCATTAGGGAATTAATACCTTCAAACTTTTCCAACTACTGTTTTTTTGCATCAAGTAACTTGCAACCCTAAACATAGGCTGCATGGTTCCTTTTGGTGCACTAGAGCAAGTAGGATGGATTTAAAGTTGGTTAACCAATTTTTAAAACTAAATACATGCTTCATTGATTGGTTTTCCTTTTCAACTATTATCCCTTGTTATTTTAACAATATTGGCATGCAACCCTTCTAAAGAAATTCATTGCAAATACATCTTACAGCCATTTGTTCTTTCCTCCGAGTGTGAAACTGTGGATTGCAGGATCTATTATTTGACATTTAAATGTTCCTTTTATGTAGAAAATATGGACTAGAAGACAATACGGTTGACTTTATTGGTCATGCTTTGGCATTGCATATAGATGATAAATACTTGGATGAGCCTGCAATGGATTTTGTAAAGAGAATTAGGGTAATGATCTTCTCACACTTCCCTTACATCCTAGTAATGTTCTTTAATAGTTTCTCATTTATTTAGTGCATTATTCAATTCAACTTTTGATGCTTGTAGTGTCCATGTATTTTATTCCAATACAAATATTTTATCATAGCCAACAATTGGTAGGATAGAAAATATTCAGGAAACAAAGACCAAACTTTGAATTACTATAATCAAGAAATTATGGCCTTTCTGGTCATAGAATTGTGTTCACTTGGAGTAATTCATCTCTTGAGGGACTGAAGGGAAATGCATATTTGATTTTGTAAAGCAATTGATTTTCATGTATCTCCAAAGTTGACAACAAAGACCCAAAGCATTTCTATTTTAGAAATGGATACAGAAAATATATTGGACTTTTAAAATTCTCATCAGATGATTATGAAATGGTAATTCTGACATGCATCATAGGACCATTTTACAACAGTACTCATGGTCTATGGCTAGTGGACCACAGAAAGGATCCGTAATAGGTATTGTAGCAGAAGATATCACCCCATTTTGTCCCTCTTATTATTTGACATTATGTTTTAAAGATGATTATAGAATATTTATCTTCTTGCTTTTTTCTAATTAAGAAAGCTTAGGGGGAGAAAATTCCAGCAAAAGAATTTCTTACATAAAAATTATCCCTAATTATATAGCCAAGGAAAGTCAGCCAGCTCATTTCCATTTCTTAGGCCGTGGAGAAAGGAGCAGAAATTAGGATATGATAAATGGGCCTGCAATATGATACTGAGTGAACCCAAATTATTTTACCCAAAAAAAGAACCTTAAATAGGGACATAAAATTATTTATACCAAAAAAACAATACCATCAAAGCTTCAAAAAGACATGAATTTATCCTCAATCAGGACCTTTTGGCCATTGGACTGGATATTTTGAGAAGCCAACTTTAAAGATGTTGTTTCACTTCTTTGTTGCCAGGCAGTTGGATTCTGTTCATCTTAATCTTTTTTTTTTTTTTTTTGAAAAGCTGTATGCAGAGTCTCTGGCACGCTTTCAAGGAGGATCCCCATATATCTATCCGCTATATGGATTAGGAGAACTGCCCCAGGTTAGTTTTCATCTGTAACTGTTTGAATCTTCTCAGTTTCTTTGACACAGTGTGTGTCACAATTTGCAGGCATTTGCTCGATTAAGTGCTGTATATGGTGGCACCTACATGCTCAACAAGCCAGAATGCAAGGTAACATAAAGCTCTAGAATAAAGCAACTGTTTCATTGTATATTCAGGAATGCATTCCCTTTTCTGGTAAAATTATAATTACTCCCTATCATTTCAAATTTAATGTCACTTAACTCAGATAAAGGGCTGAAAAGTGGCACAATACTGTATTCATTTATGCCAGAATATGTTTCACTGAAGATCTAGGGCAAGGTTATGATAATGCAGGCTCTTTTTGGCTACTAATTTAGAGACCTTATAAATAGTTTAACTACATGATTTCAACTCCGAATAACCCTAAGTTGAACGAACTACTTGTAGTTTGTTGCTGGTTTAAATATCCTTGTGTGTCATTTCTACTTTTGCTAATGAGACCAAAATTGTGACTTTAGCATTGGCTGCCCTGTTATGGAGTCATAAGTTATTATTCTACTAGGATCAGGTCAATATCTAATACTTGGGCTGGCAGGTAGAGTTTGATGAAAATGGAAAAGCATTTGGTGTCACATCTGAAGGAGAAACTGCTAGATGTAAGAAGGTTGTCTGTGATCCTTCTTATTTGCCTGACAAGGTAGATATGACCAGTCTATTATCTACAAGCACTGATACTTTAAGGTTGGATTTTACAAGTCTTTTATAACATATTTTTGAGTTGCAAATCCCTTCATTGCAACAGGTTCAAAAGGTTGGAAGAGTTGCTCGTGCTATATGTATTATGAGCCATCCTATCCCAAACACCAGTGACTCTCACTCAGTTCAGGTTATCTTGCCACAGAAACAACTTGGGCGTAAATCAGATATGTATGTTCCCTAACTCTCTGGTGGATTTCTTATGATATAAACGAATTTCTATTGGCCCATATGCATATTCCATGAACATTTTTTCTCTATGAATAAAAACATGTGGATGCATTTATAAACAATTGATGTCATGTGTCTCACATTTGAAAATGTTCTTTTTTCCCTTTTCTTTTCTGGTTTAAAGGTGTCCTTTTCTGTTATGGTAAAATAAGACAAAACTTTGGCTATTGAACATGAGTAACAACTTAGTCTATAGAATGTGGACCCAACAGTGTGAAGTTCCCATTGCAAAGAATCCTATAACCACATTCAGATTTAGAGCTAATTTAGATCTATAAATTGTGGTCAGAAATGGAAAGAAGAAACACAGAAAATCAAATTCCTAAACATAAAGAGGTAAGATGTTTTTCTTCACGACTTAACCTTTTCTGTAGGTACTTGTTCTGCTGCTCCTATGCACACAATGTAGCTCCAAAAGGGAAATACATTGCTTTTGTTTTAGCAGAAGCAGAAACTAACGAACCAGAAGTAGAATTGAAGCCTGGCATAGAACTACTCGGGCCTGTAGAGGAGATGTTTTTTGATATTTATGACCGATATGAACCCATCAACAAGCAAGATGTTGACAATTGTTACATATCCACTGTAAGTATAAACTTTTATGGCATAGTGATGATGACTCCTTTTATTTTTTTCCTAGTTGAGATTGATTGAACACTGAAGATTCAAATAACATGTGTCACAAGTTTGATAGATGACTTGCCATTCTAATGCACTAAATAAGCAAAACCACCTCTCTTTCTATTTCCTTTTTGAGACTTTAGCATTGTAATCAAACATTGAATGGGGATTCATTGCAGAGTTATGATGCCACAACGCACTTTGAGTCTACAGTAAAAGATGTAATTTCCATGTACAGCCGGATAACTGGAAAGGTAATCCTTTTACTCTACAGTTACACATTATCTAAATATGTGGGTGCCTATTCTCTTTTAAGAAAAACAAAATAAATAGAAGTACCTTACTGCTAAAGTTGCATGTATATTTTAAAGTAGTTCTCTTTGGGGATAATTGAAAATGATAGTTGAACATAATTGTGATGAGAAAGGCTCCTTAGACAGTTAACGGGGAAGATCCCTACATCAAATATTGGTCTGAGTATTTCTTTTTGATTGATAATTGATTATAAGAATTGTATTCAGTACGTAAAAAAAAAAAAAGCCTTAAACCATTATGTGGTTCATGTGACAGAACCATGAATACCATATACGTATGCATGCTTTTTAAACATCGGTAAGATCATCAAGAAATATCTTCTCCCAATTTTTGCAGAAGTTCTCAAACTTGAGGCAATGAAAATCCTTCAATATCTGGTCAATATGGAGAATAAAGTGGTGACTTCTGATGGGGATAAAAGGCTGATCAGTTGTACTTAAATTAGGATTTTCTTTAGATAATATCTTGGTACTTGATAATCAAGCTTTTTCTATAAGTAAGAAAATAAAGTCTTGTCTATAAATTTACTTTCATCAGCCTTGTTGCCTAGAAATGTACAATGGGCCAACCAAAGCAATAGTAGTTGGGTCTATTATCTTGAATGGAATTAAGTTCTATTCCTCCTTAAAGATGGTATTGCTGATCACACAGGTTTTCTTAAGAGCTCTGTAGATCTTCTATAGTCACTCTTGAATATCTTCACATGAAGTATGGCTTTAGTTTATTAACAAGTTTACTCATCAATCTACTTTAGAGGAACAACAATTACAGGAGGTTTAGCAAAATAAGAATCATATTAGAAGTCTTTCATACAACAAAAACCATAGGCCAAAGATGCTCCAAAACATTTGGCTTCATTTTAACATTTGTTGTTGACCATGGGAAGCAAAAGGTTTAACATGCAGAGGAGATTGAATGCATCAGAAACTTTAATACCTTCAAAATATGTGAAACCCGTCATCATAAGTTTGACACAATCATACTTTTTAGAAAATATAGCTCTAAATATAAACATTTATCTCAGGTATTGTTTTCATGGAAGTCCAAGAAAGTACATATGTCCAGTGTAATGGTTCTCCTAGTTTAGTTCCAATTTGGTTGAAGGTTGCTCTTTGGATAACTAATTTACCATTGTCAGACCGTCCAAGTAGACACAGTATTTCCAATCCCCAATTCTTGATTACCAAAAGTAAATTAATCATGGCATGATCCAAGTTTCCATCAAGTGAAATATTTTATCAATTTCCACTGCCTCATGTTTCAGGATCTTGATCTTTCTGTGGATCTGAGTGCTGCCAGTGCAGCTGCTGAAGAATGAAAGTTGATGTCTTTCTTACATCCTAGAAGCATTACTGGAGGAGCTCTAAAGGCATTTTTTGTTGCTTTTTCTTTTATTTAAGCTTTGATTCTTCACTGCATTGCCCTTGAATTGATTTATCATTTCCTATGTTCAAGAACGGATACCTTATTTGGCAATGTAATTATGAGATCTCTGTAGTTGATTCAACAGATTTCTATTTCCAGCTCCTGCTGGAAGTTTGTCAGTACAGAAAACAAGTGGCAGATAAAAGTTCATGTGGGTGTTTTTGTCTCAAAATTGATCTTCTCCGGAAACTCGTGTCTTTAAATTGCCAATGCTGCCTTCTGAGCACTGTAGTTTTCTGTTATAAACCTTCTTTTTTTTTGCAGAGAAAAATACATTATTTATTTTTCCTTTTGATTTCTGGGCTTATTTTCTACAACTTCTAGCCAAATTAATTATTGAATAAAACAGTTTTATAGGAAAACGCCGTTGTTGCCCATAAGAACAGTTTTACTTGGATATTTGTCTTTTGCAAATTTCAATACATTCAAATGCATGTATTATGATATTAATATTCTTTGAATTCAGTGTTTGAGTTAAAGATTCCCAGAATAAGAGATCCACTAGTTTCTTGGATGGAATCCTTATGTTTAATTGAATAAAAATAAGGTAATGCTTTTGCTGATGTGCTAGCAAGCAAGGGGTGGGAAGAAATAAAATATTTTGGGCACAATTGTAATCTGTAATATATTTATTTATTTTTGGTGAGGAAAGGTAAGGTAAGAAAGGTTACCTCTCCTCTATTGTGTATTTTTTTCCTAAATTAATGAAATTCTGTTATTGATAAAAAAAGGTAATGCTTAAACGGTAGTGGTGATTGAGATGCCAGTGGTAATAAACAGTCTTCAATGGTTTTTGGAAAAGCATTTGATGAGGAGAATTCAAGCAAAGAAAAGAAAAGGAAAAAACATACATAGTACATAAAAGAAAGGGAAGAAAAAAATAGCTCTAGGCTGTTTGGTTGCAGTGCAAATGTAAAAAATGCAAATTCTTGTTTAATTTTGTTTTGGATTTTACTTTATTCTACTCCATGTCTTAATTTACTTCATTTGTACTGCAATCGAACAAAATAAGTTAAATTTTGAAATGAAAATAGGTCAAAATTTACACTCAAACCATTTGCACTGCTATGGTTTTGCATCAGTGCAAATTTATTTGCATTGCAACCAAACACAACCTTAAGATAGAAGTGTGCTTTCGTACACCACGATCGACTTTAATGAAAACACGTAAAAGTAATTATAAAAGTGATTTCATAAATGTGCTTTCGTAAAAGTAATAATATTGAAAGGGTATAATTGGTATCCTAAAAATTTACTGAGAGGACCTCTGGGAGAAAAGTTGGAAATTTGGACTTAAAAAATAAGTCCTTATTTTTAAAATAAGCATTTATTTTGGGCTTATTCCCCAAAACACCAATAAGTGCTTAATGGTGTGGTCCCACCGCAAATAAGCACTTATTTTTAAGCACTCCCAAACATGACCTTAGCGTCAAATATAAATAAATTATACTTAAGAGAGAGAGAGAGAGAGAGAGAGAGAGAGAGAGAGAGTAGTAATGTAGTAATGTAGTAATGATATAAATCAAATAATATAAATAGGTTGAGGTTAAACAATTTAAAAATCCACTAAACTTTCACTAAAAATAAATATTAACAAAATTTAGTAAATATTAAAAATGTTTTCAATTCCACTTAAAAATCAAACTTAAATAAATGCTAATAAAAATAAGAAATTTAAATATAAAAATATCAATTGATAGTTTTAAACTTTTAATAATAATATTAGATAACTTATGAGTTGAGACCTTTATTGTGCATAAAGAACTCATTAAAAATGAAAAGATTAATGAAAATTTAAAATGCATAACAAATTTTATTGCAAAAATTATTGAATAATAATGAAAATATACCAACAATTAATTAAAAATAAGAAATTTAAATATAAAAATATTAATTGATAGTTTTAATAATATTATTAGATAACTTTGTATTAATTCATTTTTAATTAATTAATAATTTCTATGAGTTGAGACCTTTATTGTGCATAATGAACTCATTCCAAATGATAAAAATTAATGAAAATTTAAAATGTATAACATGTTTTATTAACAGTATTTTATTGCAAAATTACTCATATGAAAAAATTACAGAATAATAATGAAAAAATACCAATAATTAATTAAAAATCTAGAAATTTCTGAAAAACCTAAACATAATTAAAATACTAAAAATAATTAAAAATAATGAAAATTAACAATATTTTATATTAATAAGTGTATTTAATGAAAATAATTAAAAAGTACGATTAATAGTATTTTATTGAAAATTAGTTGTATTTTTTATTATCTATGGTATTTATTTAGTTATTTATTTTATTTTTACTGAAAGCAAATGCAAATTAATTTTGTAGTGACTAATATGCAAAAATAAATGCTGAAAATACTGAAAATTATTAAAAAAATACTCATATGCAAAAATTTCTTAACAATAATGAAAAAACACCAAAAATTAATTAAAAATCCAAAAATTCTGAAAAACCTAAAGCTTAATTAAAATACTAAAAATAATTAAAAAAATAAATTAATTGTATTTTATTGCAAAAAAATACTGAATACTAATGAAAAAAATAATGCATTTTAATTATTAATAGTAATATAAATAACAATAATTATTTTTAAATTGTAATTAATAGTAATTACAATTTAAGCTATAAATAGTAGAAAATTACATTTAATTACCAAAAAGTTGTATTTAATTACAAGAAAATTATAGTTAATTAGCTTTAGCCAAGAAATTAGCACTAGTTATGAAAATATGATAATTTCCAGAAATTATTGTATTTTAATTAATAAAAAGTAACAAATCGTTTATAACTTAAGCAACTATTAGATCTATAAATTTGCAAGCTCAAGCAACTATTTTCTTTTGAGTTAGGTCTAGCTAAGATATGCATCATGCCCACACATTATCAGGGATAATCATATTCAAAGTTTAATTAGGTATCAAACTTTTGGAGTCCAATAATGGCTTTAGTGGACAGAACCCAAGCTAAATAACTCATAATAAGCTCAACTTGGAAGCTATATGCATATATGGTAAATATTTTTATATAATATTTAAATAACAAATTTTATATTAATATATAAAATTTTAATTTATAAAAAATCATAGTTTTATAATTAACATGGGCCTCTTTATCAACAGAAAATGTGCAAGCCCAAGCTCGAGCCCAGCCCGACCATCGGGCCTAGATCTTGAGCCCAAGCCCAACCCTTATATAAAGCCCGAAGCTCGAGCCCGAGCCCGAGCCCGAGCCCGATCTATACACAAAATGTCTTATTTTCAGTATACTTTTATAAACTAAAATTATATTAATTTAGTAATAATTTAATAAACTAACAAACTAATTTATATTTCCTAATAGTAAATTAATATTTACTAATAATTTAAGAAGCATATATATATATATATATATATTTATTATATATAACATAAGTACTTTTTTTATAAATGTAATAGTATCAGGCCGTACTTATTTAAGAAAGCTCAAGCTCAAGCCCACGGGCTTGAAATTTTGTCCAAGCTTGAAAAATAACGGGTTAGGCTAGGCCTGGCCGTCGGGCTACTCGGCCCATGAATAGGTCTAATTGTATATATAAACAATTGTATACATCAAAGATCATATGAAATAAAAATTTAAGCATCTTTTTCACTTTTTTTTAAATGGACCTCTCATAGCTTGGCCTGGTCTATGGTCTGGCCTGGCCCAAAGCTCGGCACATGAACCAACCCGACCCACGGCACGGCACGGGCCTGTGCGGGCTCGAGCCGTGGGCTATGACAAACCGACCCCACAAATTAACCTAAGGGAGGAAGGCATGGCCGAGGACGCCCCGTGGGCTAGCACGACATGGCCGACACTTTGTGTGGGCCACATGCAGGTCGTGTTGTGCCGACCCAGCATGACCTGATTTATACCTCTACTTGAACCCACCCAATACTAGGGACGGGGCGAGGAAATTTGAGGATTCCCAATTTTTTATGAAGAGTAGGGTGCCTTGCCCCTAAACTCGCCCGACATTGGAGAGTGGTTGCCTTGCCCTGAACCCGCCTGACACTAAGGATGGGGCGGGGATGGAGTAGAGTGTCTTGACTATGGAGCAAGGACAAGGATGGGGTGCCCCGCCCTAAACCTAGCGATGGCAATTGGGCGAGTTGGATTGGGTTTGGTTTGGGTTGAGCTTCAATCCAACCCATCTAACCCGCCAACCCATTAATGACCCAGTTATATAAAATTAAATGGATTGGGTTCAACCCAAACCCGCTTTAACCTAATCCAATATGCCCAAACCCATTAATCTTATATTTATGTACTTAAAAAAACTTACTCTCTCTTAACAAATAAGTTTGTCATAGCTTAGTGGTAATGGTAGTTGCTATTTACACAAGTGGTGAAGGTTCAAATCACATTACATGCATGTTGTTTTTACACAAGTGGCGAAGCCATGTAACTATGTTCGGGTTTCAGGTTTGACTGAACCACTTAGGTTCAAACTGATCAAACCAACTTGAACTATCTAATTGGATTGTCTTCGAGCTATCACATCAAGGGTGGTTGAACCGTTTATATCTAGATTAGATTGGTTGGACCACACCAAACCGATTCAATCAATTGCAAAAAACGGCATATATTGGGTCAAGTCGATTCTGGTCGAGCTGAACGACCAAGACAAACCGAATTGAGGTGATCGGTTCTATTCATATTTAGACCAAGTTGAGCTGGTCCAAACTCGAGTCAAGTTGATTTGGATTTATGTTGAATTGGGTGAAGTGTGTTGATTAGAGACAAAACTAATTTTAGTCAATAATTAATAAAAAATTAATGCATTAATTATAAATTATTTCATTCAAATGAAGAAAATTAAAAAAAAAGCTAAGGAATTAATAGTTATATTTGTAGTGGTTAACCCAATAGTTATCCACAACCCAACCCAATCCAACCCATTTAAATTGACCCAATGGGTGATCAACCCATTTCAACCCGCCAAGTATATGAGCGGGTTGGGTGGGTTCAGCGGGTTGAGTGAAAAATTGCCACCCCTACCTGAACCCACCCCGTTGTCATTCCCATATAATTATTAATTATTAATGAAATTAATAAAAATATTAGCTTTTGTAATTATTTTTATTTATATAAAGTTAACCAAAATTTCATTTAAAAATAATAACAATTATTAAAATTACTACAAATTATTAATAAAACTAAATTTATTAAAATATATTTATTCATTTTAAATTAACAATAATTATTTTTTATAAATCAACATTAAATGAAAAATACAATTATTAAAATTTTAAATATTAACAGTAACGTTGAATACTTAATTGATAATATATTTTAATTATTAATTTAATATTAATTAATAATAAATAAAATATTAAATCTTTCAAATTCACGGGTCCCCGCTAGTAATAGTAGGTCAGTTGTGGGAACAACTGAATGGTGCATTGAGATCATCCCATGCTAGGTCCTAACTCAAATCATATGGAATCCCAACCATGCTAAAATTTCTCATGTAGATTTTATGACAATTGGATGCAAGCGCATTCTCTGCAGAAATGATTAGATGGCTGCCAAGATTTGACTTTTATGCACTTTTAGACTTTAGCATTTGATGGTCTAGTTGTGTATTCAAACATCACTTCGGAGAAAAAAGATGGCAGCTGTCAATCTAACCCAGAAAGAGAGGGCTAGATGTTGGAGCATCTGATGCTCATAATGAACTCAGATAGGTAAATAATTTTTGAAACCTTATATCCTTTAGATGGGGGAGAAGATTACAAGAACAACAATAACTAGAAAAAGGAAAAGGAAAAAAAAAAAAAAAGTACTACTAGATTTCATTCTATTCTCTCTTAGACTTGGAGAGAGCTTTCTTCCTCTGCCCAAGCATATGCCGGTACATGTGTGGGCTGCCTGCATTAAGGTCATGACAAAAAGCAGTTAACAAACCAGCAAAACAGTAAGACAATTAAGAAGTTAACATGTCAAAATGTCAAAGATGAAAGAAAGTCCATGCCTGGGACATAGATTCCAAGGGCAATGATGGCAGCATAGAAGTAATCAAAAGAGAAATTCCATTTGTTTGGCATTCTTATGCAATATTTCTCAGATGCCTGCAAGATTTGGAATGGAAGGTCAGATCCATCTTCAGAAAAAGAGAACAGCATACACTCCTTGGGAACCTAGCAAACAATTGATTGCCACATGAAATCCATGAATAGCAAGTGCTAACCCCCTTAACAGGTGCCAATCTAAGTTTCTTTCATATCCCATAGGGTAAAAAAGCAAGCTTTCTTACTTACCCACTCTAAACTGAGTAGGGGTAGGGGTGTTCACGGTGGGTCTTTTTTGTGAACCGAACCGGTAGTACCGGTTTTTGGAAAACCAGTAACCGAAACCAGTCGGTTAACCATTGGTTTGTTTCGTGGTTTTTTGGTTTTTTAGTTTTTATAATATTTATTATAAAAATATATATAAATATATAAAATATTATATTTTAAATAATATATAATATATTATATATCATAAACATATATTTATATATAATGCATATTTATTAATTTATAATATATAAACTATATATAATATACATAAATATATAGAAAAACATGTATACCGGTCGGTTCATTTAACCACCGGTTTTTTATATTGGTTAACCAAAACCAAACCAGTACCTTCGGTTTTTTAAAAACACCGAACTGACCGGTTCGGTTAACCGATTTTTCGGTTCAGTTTCAGTCGGTATTTTTTTGCTCAGCCCTAAAGCTGAGTAGTTCCCTATCTGTAATATTAATCTGTGCAAATGATTTTTCCTTTTTTTTTCTTGAACCTGTTAATCCATGCAAACGATAGATTCATGTAACTGGCTTAATCTTATTTTTCTTTTTATTTTCTTCTCTTTTCTCCTTTTTATGGATACAAGATCAAAAGAAATTCATTACCAGAGAAGATACAAGTCTACAAGAACATAATTTTTGGACCCCAAAAACAACGGAGAAGTCCCAAAATATCCTCTAAAAGAGACCAGAGAAGTAGCAAACAACATTGCCAATACTGCAGACTGTAGCAAGGGAAAGGATTACAAGGATGCATTTGTTTTGGGGGGCACCTGATCCAGGGACTAACTTGTAAGATTTTAGATTGCTATGCCAGTATGGGTAGCAAAGCACTGTTTGTGCTTTTCACTCATTCCCTATCACTTTTGAAAGAGGGATTTTTATATTTTCAATTCAATGAAATCTCCAGTTCACTGTTGCTGATTAAAAAACAGATGTAGTCTTTTTTTGATAGTAAATGTAAAAGAAATTTATGAAAGAAAAAAATGGAACAAGCTGATTGCAATCATCTCCAAGGTGTCAAGATACTACCCAATCAACAAAAACAAAACAACACAAATCAACAAAGACAACACAGACCAAGAAAAACAACCACAACCCCCTTCTTGATAGCATCATAAATAATCTCCTTCGGAAATCTCTTCCTGCCCGTCTCCATCCTCATTCCAAGCCTCTCCTCCTTCCCCAACTATGATCTTCTTCATTTTCTCTTTCTTCAGGTGAAGTCAACAGCTGAAGCTCTGTCCCAAACTGGAGCTTGAGATTCAAATCCCAGCCCTTCAGCACTCTCCTTCGAAACCTTGATCTTTTTACCCTTATTCTTATAAACTCTCTTGTTTTTATTAGTTGGACCAGCCCCAACCAAACCTTCTTTCAACCTAGAAAAAATTTTAAAAACATGAATCACATGAGACTTACATACGCCTCAGGCTTTCTTCAATGCCCCTGAGCCACCATCATCTCCTTCCTTAATTGTACTTTTTCTCTTCTTGCCTTGATCCACTCCAAGTCTAACGGCTGACACTTTGACTTTCAGGAACTCCGCATAACCTTCCACTTAAGGGTGTCAATGGACCGGTTTTGGACTGGACGGGTCCAGTCCAAAATCAATTTAGATGAATTGGACGGACCAAAAAGACAGTGGATTGGACCAATCCGGTCCAAAATATTTATTAGATTGGACTGGACCTGGTCCGTCCATAATAAATTTATATTGGATTTGGTTGGATTAAGCCAATATCCAGTCCATTGATATAAGATAAGAATATAGGTGTCAATGGACTGGGTTTGGGTTGAAACCAATCTAAATTAAAATGAAATTGAACAAATTGGACGGTCCGAACATTGAATTGGACCGGTCCAAAATGGTCCAAATTATTCACTGGATTGGATTGAACCTGGTCCATTTGTAATGGACTCACATTGGACCAAATCCAGTGCAATCGACACCCCTACTTCCACTGAGCCATTCTCACCCTCCTTGCCCATATCCTTTGAAAAGACAGTGACTTCCAAGATTTTGTCTTCACCCTTTTTAGTGAGCTCCCCTCCTCCTCTTCCCTTCTCAATGCCCCTGTCCCCCCTAACCACTTCCTCCACTCCAGCTCCCAATCATGTCTCCTTCTCCTCCTCCCTCCCCTCTAACCTTACAACAACCAGGTCATTCGAAGCTAAGTACCCCTCCTGTACCACACTACCACTTCCTTCTGAATTTCAACCAGAAAGGACCCAAAATAAATAACTTTACCTTCCTGCCAATCGGATTCCTCCCTTTCCTTCTCACAATTCTCATTGCACTGGTTACCTGAATAATACTCACAATAATCGAATCTTCGAAGTTTCCATCTCAATCTGCTACAACCTTTGAAACCAGGCTCTTCTTTCCATTACTATCATATCCTGCCACCACCCAAACCCAATCTTCAACCTCTCCTCCATTTTTCAAACCACCTTTTCTTCTTCTCCTTGGGACTAAAGGCTTAGACTTAATGCCTCTTCCTTTAATGACCTTTGATTTTTTAAGACAACCATCATTCTTAAAAACCTTTTTTTTCAAAAACAACAAGTGGACCCCACTCCCAATGCCTTTATCACCTAATATCAATTGTGACCCATCAAAAGCCTCTCTTAATCTCCCCATCTTCCAAAACACAATCATCTGAACTTTCCTCACCATCTTCATCCACGTATCTCATACTTAACACCCCAATCCCTCTCAAAATTACCTCTTTACCCCTTGCCATTTCCTTTCCATCATTTTCAACCTTTGAGCGATTATTTGCTTCCCCCAACTCGCTAGGCCTGAGAAACTGTGACTTCACCCCCTATCAACTCTCTTCTCTCCCCTACCATCATCTCTTTGCTCACCACTGTGCTCTACCCTGAAAAAATGCATGTCCACTCCCTCTACTTAGATTCTTAGCTCATATTCTTCTCCTGCAAATAGGAGACTAACAAACTTGGAATAGCAGAAATCTCCTCTACTTCCACTAAGATTCTTGCAATATCAACTTTCTCCCACCTTCTGTTCCTAACATCAGAGCTCAGAAACTTACCACGGAACTCCCCAATCATCATTTTAAAAAAGAATAGGCACCACATATGCAGGGGAATTCCCAGAACTCTGATCCAAATTGCTCTCCTTCTCCAACCTTCTTGAATCAGACCTGCCGCCAGAAACCACCTACTAAATCTAAGATCCCAGGATCTTCTCTTTTTTCTTCCAACTTCTGTGGAACATGAACAAAAACAAGCCGCCATTCAACTTTCTTGCTCCCAAGACTCTCCTTTCCCCATTTGAAGGTCACCCAGGCTTGCACATCCTCCTCCTCCTCCAAATCTGCACCACTCCATTTCAATCATCCTGTGTCTCCAACTCGGTTTTCATCTTTACGCAGCCTTCTGAGATGTATCATTACTTGAATGATGCAGATGAATAACTGTAGAAGCAACAATTTGGATGCCAAAACAAGGTTAAAGTAGTATCTACAGCCATAAGGGAAAATACACCACTGCATGGTGTATTAGAAAGCTGATGCAGAGACCACAAAAATAAAACTTCTTAAATGGAGAGTATAGATTAAGCATCCCATGGTAAATTGTTAGAAATATCCTCTCGATATTAGCAACTACGTTTGCAATTTTCATGTGAACTTTCCTTTTTGGTAAATCAAAGAGTTAGTTTCCCATTCCTCAATAAATATAAGACTTTGCCAAGTACAAAATCACCCTGACAATGCTGTCTACAAGTACAGTTGCTGAGTTGCACAATGGCATGAAACTGCAAAATCAGCAACAGTGCCAAGGACAATGTGAGAAAGAAGTCACTGGGTGAGATAAAGAACATCAAATAACCACCACATTCCATCCAAGTACTTTGCCCAGTCCTAAAAGTGTGCGCCCTATAATCTATGTTTACCAGACACTTTAATTCTTTAAAGTGGGTTCAGTATTGATGAGAGATACTTCAATGTTCAGCATAAAATCCAAACAACCATCACTATGGGATGTTCATGCATTACATGGGTAAAATAGACTGCAATTTCTGGTCTTTGAGCCAGACTCATAAGCAACCAAAAACCTCATTAGTTATGGACCAGCTAATTGCCTCATTCAAGATCAGTATTTTAGGATCCATGGCATTGGATCCTGTCAGATAATCTAAAATGATGTCTAGAAAACTAAAATATCAGGCATTTTGACTGTAGCAATTTGATTAATTGAAAAATTGATGAATAATTACTTCTTCCACAGTTCCACTTATGATTTTCTGAAAATTGTTGTTCTAAGATAGTTTCAGAAACTTAAGAAATTTCCAGTTGCGACATGCATTTAGGGGGCGTTCTTTTTTGGGATTTTGAGATGGGAAAAGTTGGTCAATGGGATTGTTGACCAAGAAACCTATGTTCTTTTTCCAGATTTATGTGGGGACCATCTCCTAGGTGGGTAAATTAACTTTCTCATCTAAGGGAAAGTTGCCCACACTTGGATGGGACAAAAATGCCCCTTTTGATGATGGAATTTTTATGGCTAAAATGGTCATTATTTTATTTACCTGGGAAATAAAAGAACATGGGTAAGTAACTTACCAAAAAGTGAACGGGGCCTTAGTGGTAAATAACTAATAATTAGAAACATTTTTTTATGAAACCTAATGAGGTAAAGGAAAACAGAATTTGGGACCAAACCACCTTCAATAAGAGTTCGCTCAATCAATACATAGCTCTAAAATATCCTAGACTATAGAGGTTCTTCCCTTCCAACGGCATTATTATGAACCAATCTTTTGAAGTGAAAACAAGGTGGATGCCTTTTATTGTCCGTACACTTGAGGGAGCCTAATATTGGTTATAAGACTGCATTTGTGTGCTTGGAAGGAAGAAGCTGAGCACCTTTCTTGGTAAGTTCTTGCTACAATTCTTTAAATATACAGTTCATCCATCCAAATCCTATCCAATTGAGAAGATTTGGAGGAACCCCATTTTTCCAAGCGTTGAGAAGTATTTTGGTTAGTGGGGCTTGTTAGGGCACTTATATTAGACCATCCATAGAGCACCTGGCTAACTGATTCCTTGTGCTTAAGATGGGGAACCATGTGCAGTCATCATTTCCTTCATTATGACTTGTCTCTGGATATGTGAAGTTTCTTTCTTTCTTCTTGATTTAGTGGTGGCTCTTAAAGAGTTTATGAGATCTTGGCCTCACGGTATTGTGTGAAGATGAGTGGATGCCTCCACCTACCATTTTTGTGGGGATTATGGAAAGAGAAGAATAGGCAAACTTCTGATAACAAGATGCAATACTTTATTACTTCCCAAGGATTTGTGTTGTCATTAGGCTGATGTTTAATAGGTTGGTTCTTAGTCTTGTTATAAATATAATTATCTGAACCAGTTAGCTCTTGGGAGAAATCGGTTACTATTGCCAGGAGGTGCAAAGGTTGTAAATTTTATTGATTTTGTAATTAGAGTATGCATTATCCACTTACATGCTTGTATTTTATAATCATGAATATAATTTTTATATGCTATCAATTAAAACAGATCAGTTAATAGCAAAATAGAACATAGTCTTTTGCCTCACTAACTTCATTACCTTGATGTATGGCAGAGCAATATATATTAGACCAACTTCACTGGAAATGCCAGTTGGATACAATACCAAAAAGGTGCTGTACCTGCAAATTATCAATTTGACTTTAACAAGAGAGCTTCTAGGAATTCAATCACTACAATGTCAATTGAACAAGTTATACCTGAGCCACAAGAGCCAGGATGGTGCATAACCGAATGCTTCCTTCATGCCGAAGAAAGAATATCGAATAATCTGCAAGCACAAGAAATACAAAACTATTATCATGTTGAGAACCACAGGCATGAAACCAGAAAAAAATGTTAGGCTTCTATAATTATGAAAGATGACATGTAAAAGCAAAACTAAAATATGGACTTCATGAGCAAATTATTGCAGTTATCCTATATCTCTTCAGCTTTGTACACTGAACATAGAAATGTCAAAAAATAATTATAAGTAACCAAGGACCAACTTGATTTTGATGTTCACACTATTCCATAAGAAATGGTACTATGTTATTGATATGCTTTCCCCTGTCAGGCTCCCAATATTTTCCTATGCAAGGATATGTGAAAAAAAATGGATATTTTGCATAAGACACAATATAGGGAATCATATCCCCCTGAGTCACGATAATAAATAGTAAACCAATCTCTCACCATCTTATGGATTAGTTAAACGCTACTACCATCTTAGTTTTGAATTACATAAAAGAAAAAAGAATAGAAGGTAGGAAATAAAACAGTAAAAGAAACAAAAATAAGAAGGAATATAATTTTCAATGTATGTGGAAGGAAAAACACAAATGGGCACACATAAACTCAAACTCAATAGCATGATCTTACATAAGTAACTTAACAAGCAGCGGGAATTTAATGCTATTTTTGAAGTAATTCAACCTCAATACCTCGGACTATACAAAGAGTCACAAGAGACTATATTACAAGATAAATTTTCAAAAAAAAAAAAGTAATTGAATTTATAAATGAAATAAAATCAGTAAACACTGGTACCTCCGTGACCGACCAGCTGATGACCAGAGAGCTAACAAGCATATGAGTCCGAGTCTGTGAACAGAAGACTCACATTGTTGGTGAAAACTCTCGTATTGTCGAACATAAACTTAATGGCAGTAGTAATTACCTCGGGAAAACTATATAAGATACCCCAAGTCAAATACAACCTTGAACCAATCTGCGGCAATGTTGCCGTAATTGGAGATCTCACCAACCCTTTTTCAGAGCAAAAAGAAAAGGGGGAAAGAAGATCATTTCTCAGATCAAAACAGCATTATGAAAAGAAGATAAGATATGATAGACTTCATACCTATGAGACCATGAAAAATCTGTGTAAAAATTAAAAGCACAAGCAAAAAAGGAAAAATATATATATATATATATATATANAAAAATATATATATATATATATATATATATATATATATATATATATATATATATATTAGTCACAGAAAATATGAAACAATCACTTACAAACCACTACGTTGAAAGGTGGATTTACAGTACCTCCAAAATTGCCGCCGTTTGAGCGAGCTGAAGAGGCCTTTCAACTGCATCATGGACACGTTCATGGCCAGACTCCCTCAAAGTCTTCAAAGCAAAATACAGAACTTGGCACCTAAATCCATACAGAGAAATGCAAATAAATGGGCAAATCATGCAGAGATTCAACAATTCAGAAGCACACAGGAGAACTCTGAAAACTGGTAAGAATTGAACTTGCCATCCAACGCAGACAGCCCAGTTGTAGGCAGTAAAGTAGAGGCGTCTGAGGACTGATAAGAACCCCGCCATATAGCTCTCTCTTTAAGCCGAAACACTCCTTCCGCCGCGAACGCGAGAAACTGAAGACCTAGGGTTATATAGAGATCGAAACTGGACTTTCTGATGACCTTACAAATCGTAGGCGATTACTGAGTAGATCAACCAGCAGTAGCAGCTTGTGCGCTCAACGGTTTTCTGATAAACAACAACAGAGAAGTGTGATGCAACCATGCAAGTGCAATTGAAAGCGGAAGAGCACACTTCAGAATTCGCAGTTGTATAGTTCGTCGGAAAAAAAATTACCGGTACCTCTAAAATTACACACTCCCCCTTCTTGACTATAGACGTCACAAGATCAGTTGATGTCCGTGGAGGCCTCAATTCGAACCGGGTTGGCTCGGGTTGAGCCCAACCTGGTGTGTAAAAACCCTCAGCTCTAACCCTTCATCAACTTTATTACCAAAAAAACCATCATCAACCCAATCATGATTTAATTTTAGGTAAAGGCCCAATAATGATGTTGGAACCTCGTCAACAAAACAAAATTTATAAGGGAAATACTTTGGTTTGAGTGATAATTTGGTTCTGAACTTTAAAATGCGATAAAATACCCAAGCTTTTAAAATATGACAATTCAGTGTCTGAACTTTTAAAATGTGCCAATATAGTATCTGCTATTAATCAATCTATTAATCAGCCATTAAGTAACATTTTAAAATTCAAAAATGTCCTTCGAATGCCATCTAATTTTCTTTATCAACCACGAACATTGACAAAAGGCTGAACATTCCCAAATTATAGCCTCTTCTATTAAAAAATGTTGGTGACTATACATAGTGGTCACTAAGACCACCATAGTACAGAAGGTGTCAAACTATCATTACACGGATGCCTGCAATGGATCCATAACCCATTGCACGTTTGCGATGAGTTCACCCATCGCAAATCTGCGATTAACTCTTACCCAAAGCAGGTTGTGATGAGCTTTGGCCTATACAAATCTGTGTTGAATTTTAGACGCACATGAATTTGCGATGAGCTTTAGACACGTGTAGACCCATGATGAACTTTGAACAGGTACGAAATTACTGTAGATGGGGAATAAATATTAGAAACATGTGTCTTTAAAATACATGCATGACAGGATGCCCTGTGGGCCTAGTAAAGACAAGTAATACAAACAATGACACCACCCGCGCCACATTAATATAAAAGAATTACAAAAAAAAAGAAATAGCATACATAGAGAATCTTTAAAGGAAATATCTCATTTCCTAACAAGAAAGATATACTTTCCTAATAGAAAATATTTCCTTTTAAATCCTTTTCCTTATAGCTTTGGCTTTCTCTCTATAAAAGGGGAGAACAACTCTTCCCTAGGGAGACAAGAAGATCATAACTTCAACCTAGGGTTTTTCATAAGGAGACTCTCCCTTCTCTCCTCTCTCCTTCTCTCTTCCTCACGTCCTCTCTCTTTCTGTCGCCATCTCCGGACCTTTGGATATTGGACCAACCTCCCTAGCCTTAACTCCCTACTTACATTAAAATCTTTGGTTTTGATTTTCGATCTCCGGTTTTGGCACGAAAGGTAATTTAGCATCAAAAGTAGTAGCAACAGCAACAGGGTACATAGAGGTTTCTGGGTATACGAAGAAGACCACCGGGACGATACAACAGTAGAGCAACGGAACCAACGGCAATCTCCTCTCCCCCACCTCTCCCACTCATAGCCCTATTTCACCTCCGTCATCCGGGTTCGAGATAAGGCTCCCTGTTCCTTGCCTCGCCAACGACATTCTGGTTTATCTCACCCTTTGCTGCCTCTGCACGGGATTGAGGTTTCCCACGAAATCAATACTCTCACATCCCTGCTTCCGAAAAGGTTTCTCTCATGCTCTGTTGTAGTCGTCTTGATGAGGAATCGTCGAAGGATACCAACAACATTTAAGCCAGAGGCATATGTACAACTCATGAGCTTCGAACCTGATAAGATGGAGAAAGTTTAGGCTTTGGATAAGGCCCCATGGCATTATTGGCAGCAATGTTCTTGATTTGACTGACGGCAGCCATAAGGGGATGCTAGTGAAAGTTGTCTACGGTTTGGCGGAAGGGGATCCTACGCTTCACCATTAAGATATCTACTGCTTGGGGGATGATCGGAGATGCAAGTTCAACAGTTTTCTAGGTCTTCTCCATTGCGTTTTATGTATGGAAAGTGATGGTGCGCAATCCGACCGGTCTTAGCTGTCAATGACCTTGCCTCTGAACTGAATCGCAGGGAACCTGAAATGGAGAAGATGAGGAAGCTCCGGGGGGAACCCGGTGTAAAGGCTCCGAAGCTCAAGTTAGAATCCTTCAAAGGCAAGATAAAACTAGATAGCGCAAAGTTTGCATACCATGTTCTTGGGGGGTAGAGAGCCTTTTATAACCACCTCGCGCACCCACTCCTAGGCTTCTGTCAGGTCGGGCATGATTACTTCCCTGCTTCTGCCAGTTCGTGTATCATCACCTCTGCTGGGGCAGAACCGCCACTGCCCTTTTTGTCGGAGCCGTCTCTGTAACTGGAGATGGCAGTGGTAGGTGACGGTGGCAGGTGGCCGTTGAAGTGCGGCTGTCAAGCGTCAGATCCCAAGTCAGTCAGGTGCGCCGCCCCTGGATATGTACTCCTTCGGTGTCAGGTACGGTGTGGTTTGTCTAGTTCGGCGTTCTAGAGGCGAAGTGCTGGAGCGGTGTGCGAGGCGAAGTCTTGAGTTCGGATAGGGGAGTGTCCCGAACTGCCACGAGGCGGGCCAGTTCGGGTCACTGCTTTGTGCAGCTCGGGGCC